AACCAATTTTGACACTGCCGTTCTTTTAAGGCTTCGTCACCATAAACAGCACATAACTTTTTATGAGCTTGCGATGCGTTTTTCCCTTTGCGGAAATAAAAAAGCAAAATATGACGAAAATGTTCCTTTTGATTTTCCATTTTTCAACGAACGCCAAACGAAAACTACAAAACAGATCAAAAAACTGTTTTTACTGATTAACAGCTGAATAGCCAACTATCAAATAACAAAATGTGTTTAACATTTGTACTACGTCTGCCAACCTAAAAATTCAACTGAAGCCATATATGTGTGAAACCAGCAATTACTTAGTTGCCGACCCAATATTTTTTTAAAGAAACATTAATCCTTAAAACTAGGGTTTAGTTGATGTATGTTTTACATGGAAACCTAAATTTATATGAAATATTTCTATCCTATGACATGTTGTCTCTAAATTTACATTCAATTCCAAATTGCTTCCTCTGTACCAATCTGAATATGATTCCATATGAAACTATGGCTCCTTAAAGTGAAATAGTTTGTTGATACAACTGCAGTACTGAAATTAAAGGAACACATTTATTTAGGATATAGAGATAGCACAATTGGCCAATAATCATATTCTAGGCATCTGGTATGGTCACTTCCTTCAGATATTTGCATTCAAGAGAAGACCAATAGTCTTATCTCCACTATTTCAACAATAAAGTGAGTAACTCTGAAGTGCTTGAAGAGGTAAAGAAAGATGTTAGGATCCAGGGAAAGGAGCCAAGCCAGCCTTTCAATGTCCTCAACACAGAAATGCAGCCACTCAAGGATCTTGTAGCTTTTATATTCCCTCCAATAAAACGTCATCAATCTGTTCTTGTGCTTGATTCTTTCTCATTCACCAGAGTGGCTTGTGCTGCCTATTTTTCATTCATCTGCATAACTTTAAACATAATTTTACAGTTTTAAAGAGCCACTGTCAGCCTTTAGGATGTATAGTTTCTTCTCAAAGTCAAGGTCTTATGGAGAATATTAATTATGTGTGTTAGAGCCCTATTGTAAAATTGGCCCACATTTCTTATGCACCTAAATAACTGGAAAATAATTGTTAAATAATGTATCTAAAGGAAGAAAGACTAAAATTCAAGTCTAAATAAAATTAGAGAACAGTATGGGACGTTATTTAAGATTTATTATGCTATATAATAAAGGCTAATATGCAAATCGACCGAATGGTGGAACAACTAGCTGCTATGAGTGCACTGACCACCAGGGAGAAGGCACTCAATGTAGGAGCTGCCCCCTGGTGGTCAGTGCATAAGAGGATATGCTGCTCAGCCATAAGTGGGGCTGGTGGCTGGTGAGTGCAGTGGCTGTGGCAGGAGCCTCTCCTGCATCCGTGGCAACACTAAGGATGTCCAACTGATGGAACTAAGTTGGATATCTCTCGAGGGCTCCCGGACTGCTAAAGGGCACAGGCAAGGCTGAAGGGGGATCCCCTCACCTCTCCAGTGCATGAATGTCATGCATCAGGCCTCCAGTGTAAAATAAAGCCCATCATATTCTTTAGGTTGCGTAGGCAGGATTCTCCAAGCCCTGTAAGTTTGGGGACTGAAATTACAGAAGAAACTTTACTCTGCAAAGTTCCAGTCATTTGCCACAGCATAGACATTTCTTAGGAAAACAAATAAATTTACAGTAAACGTTTACCCAAATTTAAGGTTTAGTTGTACAATCTCACTATTGTAGTATAGAAGTACCTTTCATCTTCCATCTGTTAGTCAATTTTAAGTATAAGAAGTATATTAAAAAACAGAAGTCTATATTTCTATATTTCTGTTGCATATTAGTCATTATTCTTTCTTACCTCAGCACCCAAATAAAAATAATGATCTATATATAGACTTTAACTACTTGAAAAAATCCTGAGAAACCATAGTCTGATGGGAATGTGGATAATTTATTTATGGTCATGAATTTTACTTCATCCAAAGAAGAAAAGTATTAAAAAATCAATATATTGTCTGAAATTGTTGTAACATTGTACTTAAGAAATTTTCTAAAGCGTCCTATTATTATGTAAATTGAACAATGTGATAAACTTGAAAATTCATGAAACTTTATCTTTATTAACTCATTAAGAGTTGCTGCCTACCAAATAGTTTAAAAAAGTGAAACAATTTCTTCTGCCAGAGTGAAAGAGGGAACTATGTAATATCCAAAGGAATTAAAAAAAACAAAAGCATATGCTGCAGGCCCCTTTAAGAATCACCATCTAGGCTGATAAATAATGATATATTTAAAAGATATCTGAAATAATAAGCACTATAAAAATTGGGCACAGAGAAAGCATTACAAAGAGCAGAAAAATCCATTGTCAGCTTCACTAAAGCAGAATTTCAAGGAAAGGAGGTATTTGAGCTCCTCTTAGAGAATGAATAAAAATCACATCATCTGAGGAATGCAGTTCTATTAGGGATCCATAATCAGAAAAATACTTATTTTTTTCTGATTATGAAGATATCCACAGCCATTGATAACCTACATTCACTCTTTATTCCCAATTTCAATTTGTGTTAAGAATATAGACCTACGGAGCTGTGAAAGGTATAATGTGATTATTATACCTTGGTCCTAAATACTAGGAAGCAGTCATAAAATGGGATGGATAGACCTTAACCTGCTGATCACAGAAAAAGACAAAGAACCAAATAAGAGAAAACCTGGGTAAACTTCATTTGTCCACTCTCTCTCAGAATAGCATAATGATCAGAATTACGTTAAGCCATGAATTGATTTCATGTTCATGGGATAGAGCCTTTTCACCCAAGGACTTACAAACTAATGCTAAGGTAATCATGTCTAGTGCTATAAAACAGGTAAAATAAATACTACAGGTATTCTTAAAGGAGAGAAAAATTTATAAGAAAAATAATAAGGACATCCTTTTGAAGGACAGGTAGGGTGCCTAGACTCAAGATGAAAGTGAAAACAGTTTAGGATGAGAAAATAGAATGAACAAAGAGTTGGAATTAGAAAAGGGCCTGCCTCAGAGAATTATAGTGAATATAAAATTTTAAAAAATTTGTAGACTGCCCTGACCAGTTTGTCTCAGTGGATAGATCATTGGCCTGTGGACTGAAGGGTCCCAGGTTCGATTCTGGTCAAGGGCATGTACCTTGGTTGCAGGCACATCCCCGGTAGGGGGTGTGCAGGAGGGCAGCTGATCAATGTTTCTCTCTCATTGATATTTCTAACTATCCCTCTCCCTTCCTCTCGGTAAAAAATTAATAAAATAGATTTTAAAATAAATAAATAAAAAGTATGGAGACTAATACATTGGGCATGGTCAACTCTCAATAAACATTGACTAGTACATATACACCTAATCAACACCTGTATAAAATTGAGGACACAATACAAATGAAACAACTAATATATTTGCTCAGAGGCATTTAAGAAATATTTCTAATCTTTTTGGATCATTGGAAAGGGACCACAAAAAGTTTAATACTTTTTATGATATAAATGATATTATTATTTTATGATATAAATGATAATATTATCATTTATAAAGAAAAAATTTAGCCTAGTGTGTACAATGAGGATACATTTGCTTTAGAAAATGTCTCAGGCATACCTTTTATCATGTCTTTAATTTATGAATATTACTGCCACCCAGACAAGTCATCTAAGTTAATTTTCTACTGAGAAAGATTTAAAAATTTAAAAGTTGTTTAGTATTCTAGGTCCAAATATTTAATTAAAATTTAGAAAAATAAGACATGTCAGGAGGGAGGAAGGAAGAAAGGATGGAGAAGAGAGAGGTAGAGAGGAGAGAGAGAAAATTGTGATTGAGATTTTCAAAATCATTAAGTAGAATAACTAGAATTTGAATCCTGGGAGCTTCCTAGTAGCTTTCCTATCAAAGATTATAAATTCACTTTGACATCTGGGGGTTTTGCTGATTGTGGTTGGAAAGAGCAAAATATGGTGGTTACTCAAAGAAGCAAAAATTGGCACTCCTTACTCATTGAGCACAACAACAATGACAAAAAAGTACAATATAACTTTATATATGCATAAAAAATTGCATACTTATGTCCCTAGTGGAAAGGAGATCAAGGCTGCCACTGCACTGTGCGTATAACCTGGGTCGCAGGCAATATGAATATTCAATTCTGTCATCACTTTAAGATTCCCAGTGGAAGAGGATGAACATTGCTTTTTAAAAATCTTCCTCTCTCAGGCAGAGTTTTGAGGGTCCAAACCTGGAAGATTCATTAGCAAGGGTGTGTCATATTTGTAAATTTCTTTCAGCCACAAATTTCCATTACAGAATTACTAGCATTATGGTAATTAAGACATTAAATCACACTAGGATATCACATACATGTTGAGAAAATGATAATACAGATTGCTAGGACAATAGCAATGTGCCCACCGTAAGGACAGTCATTTTTTGAACCCTGTTATCACAGCCAATTTCAACAGGGAATGAGTCTATCCCATTAACTAAATCCTAATGAAACTCTAGAATTAGAGACACAAAGCTTTCTTCTCCTGTACCCAGGGCTGTCTTGAATCCTGTTAGCATGTTCTTATTTACTTTATTAGCATAGTTTTCATAGTTTTATGTTCTTTTTCAGGGCAGGTCAATTGGATGCCATTGCTTAGATATTCAGAATGTTTATTCTGTGTAGTATTTCCCCCTCCCCCCCCCCCCCCCCCCCCCCAAAAAAAAGTGTTTTTGTTTTTCTCACTCTCTCTCTGTTTTTCTTCTAGAAAAAAATCTCATGAACTGAAATTGTTAAACTGCATTTGGTGGCAGGGGAAGGGGCGAAGGGAGTAGGAAATATATAAATAGATGTGTTCTGAAGTAGTTCTTGTATAACCAACTGAGGGTTTGGAGAAAGTATTTGAATTACAAATATGTTCTGTTTCAGAGCAGGGTGTTTAACTCAGTGAAAACCTTGGCATGCAGATTCACATGTGGCCACTGGCTTTTGTTCCCTGTCTCTGCAGTGCCACCCTGGTTTTTAAATCACCCCTCCAACCTCTATGCCTACGAGAGCATGGACATCGAGTTCGAGTGCGCGGTCTCTGGGAAGCCGGTGCCCACGGTGACCTGGATGAAGAACGGAGACGTGGTCATTCCTAGCGACTATTTTCAGATCGTGGTAATCATCCCTTCTCTCATTCGCTTTCCAACCCCACTCATGGCTGACTGTCTTCAGGTGTTTTCCTGTCCTGGGAAGAAGGTTCCTGTTTGGCATTGGTGTGATGTGTTGAACACAATTGTCCTAAGAAAGCAAGTGATTCTAGACTTAGAATTTTCGAGCTAAAAAGAGTAATCAAACACCTCCCCCACCCCCACCCTTCTTTTTGGGGGGGGGCCCAGAGATTAAACTGAATTAAAAATTCAGAGATTGTGAATGGAACCCAATACTTTCTGGTCTGCCTGTGAGCTGATACTCCAACCCCTGAGCAACACAAGCCAGTCTCCCCGCAACACCTTTTTGTTTTTAACAGACAAGGTTTTACCTAGAGAAAAAACAGAGGACTTAAGACTTATTTCCAAGTATTCTCATTACTGTCCTTGGAAAAACAGTTTAGGACCTTGCTCTGGACTATATGGAGCCAGGAATCTGTTACTGCCGTGGCTTACCTATTGTAATGAAGTTCCATTAGGTGTGCTACTTATGATTTTGGGAGTCTTGCTTGGGTGATACGGGCAGCTTCCCTTCCAGGGAGGACCAGCTGGCCTTTCATGAGAGTAGGCAGGACAGGGGTGATGCTGGCAGGGATGGTGGTAGCGGTCATGGCAGAGAAGCCAGAGGTGACATTGCCTTGTAATTTTGAACATCTTAAAGCTAAGCGTGGTAGTTCTCATTTACTGTAAGTCTCAGGACCCCTAGTTTCCTATCCCCATGGGAGATAATAGGGGTAATGGTGCCCTAGTCACTGAGTCGTTGTCCTGGTACAGAGTGAAAGCTCAATACCGTATTATTGTTGTTCTTTTCACCGGCAGAATTCTTTGCTCATTGAAAAATGGTCTACAAAAACTCTCCTTGAGATGTAGGTTAGCATCGGAGGTTCTGAATTCACATATATAAACATACGAGAAACTCTTTCCAAATATTAAAGAACTTTTGCAGCCAAAGAAAGATATGTGGGGTCCACATCTGTCAAAGAAGAGTGTTCTAGAGTGTTCTTCTAAGCCAAGTCTCCCTATAGAATGGGGCTGGGACATAGGTGCCCTGCAGGCTGAGGCTCAAGCCCTCTCCATGGCCTTCCCCGGCTCTCAGTGCTAGAACTTTCAGGAACTTCTTTGGCCTGTGCATGCTTGCATTATGCATTATGCCATGCTATAAGGGTTCTTAAGGGATAAACTCACAAAACATTTTTTTGTCACTTCTATCACCACTTATTCCCCCCCCCCCCCCCCCACACACACACACTTTTAGTCCCATTTGTTTAATTGCTTGGGAATAGAGTAAGAAAGGGGAAATTTTTAACTTGAATGCCACACCAATCCATTAGTTTAAGTGCTATTGCTACTACCACTGAATTAAAAATGACCTGCCATTGGGAGACTTCTTATTTATGCCTAGAATATATGCTACTTGCTCGTAAAAAGAAATTACTGACTGCCCTTAAGGACACATGATAAAATGCAACATTTATGTTTTTCTACAGTTTGAATAATCTTTCTCCCAGCTTGACTCATTACAGCCAACCTCTTTCAGCGTTTCTTTTCTTAAGGTGAAAAGAAAATGTATAGCAGGAGCCCTATTCACATTAAATTGTGCTTAAAAATACCTCCCCAATCGCTCTAGAAATCAGAGAGCCATTGTCTGCCGGACAGGTAACATTTGGCACAGATAGTAACTTACATGTGAATTTTTAATTAGAAGTTAGTCAGCTTTATCTAAGAACTTTATATCAGCTGAGAACCAACTACAAGACACTAAAAACAATTAAGAATTCCCCACGAGGTAATATTTATCTCTTAATGACTTCGGGGGAAGTGATTTAACACGTCTCACTTACTGAACTAACTCTTGCACTAATATGAAAGATAAACTGAGTTAGTATAATTAAATGCTCTCTCTAGTTCGTTTTATCATCCATCCTTGAAAAAGAGGGTGGCTCAGTTTACATGAAATAAATGATAACCTTGCTATCTATAATTTATTGATTACTGAAGTGAAGCATTTTGGTCATATAACAAGAAGCAATGGGCATAAAATATCCACCCGGTACAAATTCCAAAATTGTACATGTCAAAGCAATGAAAAATTTAAAAGGATTTTCAGACATATTTTCTGGATAAACAATTGTAGAAAATATCTACCTGAGATTTCTTGTCCCTTAGAAGCTGCAAAGAGTGTTGTTTTTGTTTCTTTGTGTGTGTGTGTGTGTGTGTGTGTGTGTGTGTGTGTTTTCCCTCTCCAGTAGCTGCTAAACCTCAGCTTCTTTCAATAACAAATCAAAGCATGATATTTCTTTTGTTGCTACCCTTTGCTTCTTCTATTGCTAATGGGAGAGTTTTCTGTTTACTGCTCTTTCAGACACTGAGGATGTTGTGTACTTTGGGGAGTACATTTTTCATTGCAGAACTAGGTCAAGTCGATGCCCTTGGATCCAGCACAGAATTCGGAAGCCATGACTTTCCCAGTCAACACAGACGTACCCGTGAAGCTGGGAATGCTCAGGGCTTCCCTTCTTATTTCTTCTGTGAAGTTTTATTAAAATGGGTTTATGTTCACTTTTTACTTTGAGGTGTGTTTTTTTTTCTTTTCTTTCCTTTTTAAAATATTTCACGTTGCCTTTCCTTCTTTCTAGGGAGGAAGCAACTTACGGATCCTTGGAGTGGTCAAGTCGGACGAGGGCTTTTATCAGTGTGTGGCTGAGAATGAGGCCGGCAATGCCCAGACCAGTGTACAGCTTATTGTCCCGAAGCCTGGTAAGTGGAGGGGCACTCTGCTCTGGCGCAAGTAGTTACAGTTATTCGTTGTCTGCCTCTAAAACCCATGGTTTTTCCTGTCTCTCAGTCGATTTGAAATTATATAATTATTCAGTTAATTAGATTACACATTTGTGTGTTGATAGTATATTTTGCCCAGCAAATTACATCTATATATGGATATATGTGCATAGATAAATGCACTAGGTAGATATATACTTAGCTATCCATTTATCTATATATATATCCATCCAGTAAGATATAGTTATCATCATGAATAATAGTTGTTTCTGGTGGTGAAGACAACACCACTAAATTACTGTGTTCTCCCCTCTCTTTTATGATTTGCCTTTTTCCTTCAGTGTTTTATATAAATATACTGTATATGTGTGTAGTATGTATTTACATACATGTGTAAACATATAGATGTTTACACACATATGTAGTCTTGAGTCAATGAAAGTTGATCGAAAATAATATCTTAAACATAAAAATATTTTCTTAATCTTTCCCAGCAGTAAGTTTAGTGGAAAGTAGCTGAAATGGATGATGTGTAGTCTTTAAAAAAAATTATTGATTTCAGAGAGGAAAGGAGAGGGAGAGGAAGATGGAAACATCAATGATGAGAGAGAAGCATTGATCAGCTGCCTCCTGCATGCCCCACACTGGTTATCAAGCCCACAGCCTGGGCATGTGCCCTGACCAGGAATTGAACTGAGACCAACTGGTTCATAGGTTGACACTCAACCACTGAGTCACACTGGCCAGCTGACATAGTCTTTCTTTGGTTTCTATAATTTAAGTGGCTATCACCGTGTTATATTTTGTGTATCTCTAATCATATATCTGAAGATTCAGACTCTCATAGTGCTTATAAGGACAGCTTTTTCTTTTCTCCTTATTAAAACAAAAAATGCAACAGTCAAAGGTGAGTAAAGGAACTATCTCAGTATGAAAAAGGATAATTAACTTCTGTTCAAGATCACTGATTTCTCTGATAGACTCCTTCTCTTTCCACTCCATGTGCTTTAAGCATCAGTGTGACTTCATTTGTGTGTCTGAGTGCATGCTCTTGTGCCGAAGCAGTCATGGATAAGTAGGAGAAAAGGAATCTCTAAACTCACGGTCTGTAATGTGAGCCGTGGTTTAAAAACTGCATCATCTCATTAGCAATGACAGTGGGCTCCACTGATGTTAACACTGGCTGCTACTCAAGTCACAAATTCTGGTTAACATTGGTGTCCAGCTATGGCCATAAAGCCGAGGAAAATGCAAGGTGAGTAATCCCATGTTTCTAAAGAAAAGTGTGAGATACAATTTTTTAGGATTTATTGAACTGACCAGAGTCCCAGTGATCATCTTATAGTCAATTGCTCATGAGGACGGGGGTCTCTGAAGTGCTGAAATCCATAGGATTAGAGATTGTCCTGGTATTTTCTCCCCCAACAAGGCAAGTTGTAGAGACTGTAAGGAAACCCCTTGAACAGTGTGTGTGTGTGTGTGTGTGTGTGTGTGTGTGTGTGTGTGTGTGTGTTTTCTAGGATGCTAGCAAAAAATGGGAAATGGCAACTCATTCTGAGTGAAAGCACTCTGGAACTTCCCACAGTGATGCTGGGAGAGAAACGGGGAGGCAGCTGTGGAGACAAGCTCTGCTTCCCTCTGTGGGAAGAACACAGGTGTGAGCTGCAAGGGAAGAGAGCCGGGCTGCAGGCATCTGGAAGGGATCCTGACCAAGAGGCCCTGCCTGCCGAGTCCAATCCATCCAGAAGGCTAGAGGGTCACTGTCTGGGGTGGAGCTGGACTGGGGAGCTGGTGTGCAAGGTCAGCTGGACCGTACCTTGCCTGTTTCAAGGAAGGATCCAGTGATGGATTCCTAAAGTGGATGAGAGCTGCCTCACAAAAAGGAGGCATGCAGAAACCTTCTGTGTGGTCAATTTTTAAGAGCACAAGTTGAGAAAAACAGCCTTTGTATCTTTACTCTAACTCTATCCTCTCTTCTCTGATCCCGGAAAAGCCATAAGCAGAGGAAGGGAAAATGGATCCAAGAGACTGAAACAACAGGTGACAGATGGTCCCACTACTCCTTCCGCATTCCTGGTCTCAGGCTTACTCTATAACAGGGGAAGCAATTTTACATTGATCTTTAGGTTAATGTTTGATTTACCTCTCATGTGGTGTGTGTGTGTGTGTGTGTGTGTGTGTCCCATACTGCTATCAGAGGTAAGAAATCGATCTGACAAGGTGTGTTTGAAAGTAGATGCTGATAAAACTACTCTGGAATTTCAGTAATTTGGCTTATTCAATAGACCAATTATAGATATTCAGTGTCACCTACCCCCTTACCAAGAGGCAGCCCTTTATTAGCGGCCTCTTGCACTCCACGAGGGCTCTGATTCATTTGGCCTGTGTGACTGTAAGAGAGCGAGGCTCCCGGGGCAGAAGCATCCTTTACCTTCTGGCTGGGGGAAGCCTCAGAAAAGCTCTGTACTTCATTCCTTTCCTCTCTAGGTGGTAAAGTGTTGTCAGTGGATGCTACACTCTTGCCTACTGTTTTTCATACTTGGCATTGGATTAGAATAAGAGTAAAGGAAAATAAAGACAAAAAATCCTAAAATGCGACAGGACACATAGCCCCTTATCAATGACAGGTTGCTTTTTTCCTGCCTTATTCAATCAGGTCTTCAAAGAATAGCTCCCCCATTCCTTAGAGATGCAGGGTGGGCTGTGTGCACAGATGGGAGAGGCCAGCTCTCCTGTAAATGCAGCCTTGAGGCTGACCCCAGGGGAGGATGGGGGAGAGAAGGACAGAGCCCTCTGTGTATGTGGGACACACTGTGGGCCCGCGTTACCCAGCCCTTCAGCTCTGCCCAGTGCACAGGCTTGAGGCGGAGTTACTCTTGGCAACCGCCATAGTCTGCTTCTCTCAGAAGCACACACACTGTGACCTCTGGGAGCCAGGGCCATTGTTGGGATATTTACATAAGCCTAATGAAGGTTCAACATAGCCTTTCATTGTATAATTAGCGATCCTCTCTTTAGCCATTAGTGATTAGGAACTGAACATTATCTACTGAATTAAATTATGATAATGACTTTATTTTTCTCTCCAGAAAATTAGTTTGGGAAAAAACATTGAACTATATGCACAGTAACATGTGAGATATGAACCTGGTTTTCAGATAAAGGAGCTCAATGGTATTTAAAAATTACATTAGAGAAAGTTCTAACAACAATGTATGTATCTAACACTACAACCCCATGTACATATGCAAACTGTTTCCTATCTCTCCATATATGCCTACACACGCACCTGCACACTCAGAGAGACTGGCCTCCTGAACACTTAAGAATACTTTGCACATACACCCACAGTGCCCCGGGTGATGAATGCAAGTTAAAATAGTGTAACTGATTTATATCACTTGTATTGTCTACTAATCTCATCCAAGAACTACGGGAAGCTTTATTGTTGTTGTTTTCTTTCATCTATTTTAGTGCAAGAGCCATTGGTTAAGATGTCCCCTTTCCAAATAAGAAGTCCCCTATTCATTGAATAGCCCAGCCAAAGTGTCAAGAATCAATGTCTCAGTTGTCACAAGAATAAGAAGTTCCAATAGCCAGGTTTCCAAACCATGTAAGCAGTAAGTTAGCATCTAGTTGGTATAGCAGATACTAATGGATTAATTACCCCGAGTCACCATCCAATAAGTCAGTTTAGCGAGCTGGTAATTAAAGTAAAAAGACTCTGGTAGCTGGAGCAGAATGTTAGCAGTTTTCCAGTGCTAGAAGTAGAAGTGTAAGGATAAAGGCAAAAGTCAAAGTCTCCTTTCCTATAGAAAAATATTGATAAAGTAACTCTTTCTCTAAGAGGTCAATGATGGCCCAAGTTTGACATTAATCAGTCATTTGATCTTTTGCTATCTAATAGTTATCTCTGAGTTAGCTATCCCTGTTATTTCTAGCTGTTGAGTAGCATTCCATTTCCTGGCAATGGTCTGCCATGGAAGGTAATCAGAATACCTAACTGCTGGGCAGGAAGTTGAGGGACAGGGAACTGCCAATGCAGCTATGATTGTGACCTATGTCGTCTGGAATATTTTTTAAAATATATTTTATTGATTTCAGAGAGAAAGAGATAGAAACATCAATAATAAGAGAGAATCCTTGATTAGCTGCCTCATGCACGCTCCACACTGGAGATTGAGCCTACAACTCGGGCATGTGCCCTGATTGGGAATTAAGTATAATATGTGACCTCCTCCTGCTTCAAAGGTTGATGCTCAACCAATGAGCCACACTGGCTGGGCAGCCTGAAATATTTTTAATTTAATGGCAGAATAGGTGAAATTTCCATGAGAGAAATAATATATTTTTCATAACAACTATGCACAAAAGGCTATATGATTGCAAATGAAGAGATTTTATTATAAATATCATGTCTCCTGTGTTAATATTGAATATTTTCTAATTCTGGCTTTGTTTCTTTCCTTCAACAATGTAACATAGTAATTTCCCACAATAGGATAGAAAATACATTGGCTAGGCATTTAGAAAAATGTGAGATGCAAAACCAGTTTGGCTCAGTGGATAGTGTCTGTCTGTGGACTGAGGGGTCCCAGGTTTAATTCCAGTAAAGGGCATGTACATTGGTTGTGGGCACATCTCTCTTATCAATGTTTCTAGCTCTCTATCCTCTCCCTTTCTCTGTGTAAAAAATCAATGAAGTATGTTTAAAAAAAAAAGTGAGCAGTCCTCCCTGGAAAAGATTAGTGATTAAGAATGATGTTGAATTTAAGCATTTTATTGAGGTAGTATATCATAGAGCCTAAAATTAGCAAGTGTATTTAAGTCAGTCATGAACATTGAGGCATCAAATCAGGAGTCATTTGCATCTATTTTTGTAACTTGTTCCCTATCAATATGAGAATACCTTGCAATTCAAATGGACAAAACAAATATTTGTGTGCACACCCATATAATCATTGTATATTAATTGCAAC